TGCTCCGCTGCCAGGCTCTTCTACTTACCCCATTTGTCCCCCCAGCCTCGAGAAGAATGTCGGAAAGGTCGTTCCTGCCCCAGCCATAATCTCGAAACTGCCTTTCGCCGCATCCCAAATGGGCGAGCTAATGCAGATCTTCCACGCAGCCCACAACTCGACGATGGAGGTCATGATCGTGTACTCGCTGACCGAGCTTGAGTGCTCTTTGAGCCCCGGCAAGACGAAGCGGTGCGTGTGTCGGCAGACGACATGATTGACTTCGCCACGTCGGTCCTGGGGTCGGAGCGTGGAATTGGTAGCAAATTAAAAATGATTTTTTTATTTTATTTTTTATATTATTTTTTAATTACCACATCATCAAACTAATGGTCAAAGCCTTTGGTTGACTGCCACGTAGGATGATTTTAACGGAATCGGACGGCCGGTGGCTACGGTGAAACGATTCGTAAAGTTAGTGGCGAATAAGAAGGAAAAGTAATTCGGGTGGCAAATGTGAAAAATTTGTATAATTAGAGTTACCAAACTCGTAATTTAGCCCTTTTGTAATTTTTCCGCCTTGGCCCTTTCTCTATACTAGATTAGGGCCCGGCCTCTTGGTCGGGAGAGTTTGGTTTTCATGTGTATGTGTAGTAAACATTGAGGTATATATTTTTTTACGGTTCATGTTGTTGGGGATTGAAGTAACTATTTAATTTGGTAAGTTCTCCATGAATAATATAGGAAAGTATTTAATGTATTTGACTAATGAAGTTTAAAAAATGAAAAACAACGTCCAACTACACTAACATAAATACATATTTTAAAACAAAGTCGTATCTATATAAAAATCTCTGAGAAGAACAATGATAAGAGTTGTTTTACATCACATATACATAATCAATCTTCAGTATACGATAAATTTTTTTTGCCTTTTCCATTAACTTTCGTGTATTCAATGATATAATGAAACAAAGTATATGTTTATAGTGTCCTTAAAATGAAACAAACTAACTGACACAGTCATGGTTTCATTAACTTTTGTGTATTCAAAGATATAATGAAACAAAGCATGCAGATGTCCAGCTGGCAAGTTCAACTAATAGAGCAACACATAAAAAGCTAAATCAAAGCGAAAAGAAGGCAAAAACTAAAAGCAACATACCTAACATTTTGGGGGAAATCCACATCAATAAAATTCATTGTATGAACACTTGATAATGATTTGAACACTTGTGATATATGAATAGTGAAAGTTAATAAAAGTCATTGTAGCTCTTACTCAAGTTAGAAAGACTTTGATTTAATGGTAAGTAAACAATGATATGTAGTGCCTAAGAGGGAAGATGAGACCTTACATTGTTTATTAATATGCATCTTAGTTTCATAAATTTTACATCATTAAAAATTTATGTGTTGAATAGAAACCCATCCGAGTTTGGAGCCATTGTAAAATGTATGTTATGAAGCAAATGAAAAGTCTCAAGCATCCACATGCTTGAAAAATAAATCTATATTATCAAACATAAAATCATATCTTGCATAAGAAAAAAGGACAAAAAAGTAGTAATTCGATAATCAATATAAGAATCAATATGGACACAATATCTAATCAAGAGAATAGGAAGCGGAAAAACACAAATTGTTGTGTATAGATTCCGCTCACGATATTTCAAAGTGAAAAATATCATAAAAATTATTAACCAATAAAAGGGAACGGTAAAGGGGGAAATCCATCAATTTGAACCTTAAATGAGAGGAATTAATATCCTACACCATCATATATAATGATATATTACATCACAGAACATCATCAAAAAATCTATCTAAATGAAAAAGTATACTAAATTGAATCTAATGTAAAAGTAGCGATGAAGATAGATATTATATCCACCTAAGGAATAATAAAGTAAGCCATGTTTCTTAGAGACCTCTCTCGATATAACCACTCTATTATAGAACCCATTTCATCAAACAATTGCATCATATAGAGTTTTAACTTAATTTGAAGTGCTTATAATTAGCTATTTCAGCTCACGAATGAATTAATTATATCATTTGGTAAAAGAAAATAATTTATAAACTTGAGAGTTATTTCGTTTGTTGTTAAATCATTTGAACTAAAGTATGAAAGTGCTTTAGAACCGCTATTTTATTCATTATTATTAAAATACTATTTTTATCATAATGTCTAAGCATGTCTAGGGGAGCTAGGAGATAGACAAATGCCCAATGACGGCCGTACGCCTAACGTGCTGCTGAACCTCAATAATTATAGCAAACTTTGAGTGCATCTTATAAATTTGATCACTTCTATTTGGTATAATTGATTACATCATGAAAGCGATCAATCAAAGAGTCTTTCTTTAAGATTTTGTAAGATGTCCCCTACTGCACAATTAGTATGACTAAATTGTAATAAGATAATCATGTATTGAATTTGGAATCGATAGCGCAAAAGATTGTACTAACTCAAGTAGAGTTTTAGCTACTCAGTACTTCATATTCACATGTAGATAGCTATTTCGAAGAGTTCGAATATTGATTGAGTTTGTTGAACTTTACCTAACGAAACTATGATATCAATCGCAAGATATTATGCTTTTTGGAGAAATTGGAAGAATATATTGGTGATTTCAAACCTAACATGGATAGCATTGAATTTAAGTGATAAGCAACATTTATGTTTAATAGATTAGACATGAAAAATATATTTAGCATTCCCATAAGTTGGTATCTTTTTATATGAAATAAAAAATTGATTCTGTAGACGAAAATACCCTTCCTACTTTCACTCTCGTTGCAGGAAATTTGAAATGGAACAAATCAAACTCCTTAAAATGTACTAGTGTGGCCCCGGCCAGTTGGCCGAAAGAAGGTGAGGTATGAAATTTGATAATGTGAAGGGGTGTATAGCTTATTGTTGTATAGTTTTTTTTGGGAAACACTTGATAAAAATATTGAATTTTAGCAGGAAAGAGACATGAATGATGCAATGAATCAAAAATCGGCCTTATGAACCAAAATCAAGTACATGTTACCTTGTGAAAAAATATTGTTTCTGATAATATGATGAGGTGGAGTAAGTTTTATAGAAACCGAATTCCATAAAATCGATAAAAAAATCGTCTATCCCGTCGGTTTTCGGGAAATGAGCAACTCACAATCGTTGCTAGCTTTTACTCGGCCCGTTGGCCGATTAATTTGCTTTATAAAACTTTCATCTTGTCGTCATTGTGCTTTCTGGTTTTTGTCAGGCCATGATAAAATATAAGGAAATCAAGAACGAACAACACGATTTGGGATAGGAACCGCCGTTGTCGTATCCCTAGAAAATGGTGGTAAACAGGGACTCACCTGCCAAACTGGTTTGGATTGAGATTTTTATCGGGTATCAGGGAACCATGTGATTATAAATTAGACTTGATCAAAACGGGCCAAAACTTGAAACTCAGCCTGTTTGACCGAACCATGCCAAATTCTAATTATTTTTTACTTTTAAACTTTCTATTTGAAAATAAGAAATAGTGAAAGAAAAGAGATGACTGCAATTCGCCATTTGCACATCACTTATTCGGGAATAAAACCATAGAAATTCAAAAGGAACTAAAAATATTTAGGATCATTTTAATGTTTAAAATAACCAAATAGATCTTTCTGTTTAGTTTTTTACTAACAAATATCAAACGATTCCCTATAAAATACACAATAATTTGATCACTATGATATCAAATAATTATATAATATATATTTGAAATGATAAAAATTGGAATAATTGGGTTGGTTGAGGTTGAACCATTGAATAACTTTAAAATACATTATATTTTAGCCACTAAGATATAAAATAATCGCATAATATATATTATGCCAGAGAAAATAGCTTGTTTTAGAATGTCAAACCAATGATGTTCATTTGTTTTACTTGATGGCCAAATCCCATGTATGTCAGGACCATTCAACTTTTTTATTGTACTGTTAGCGGTTAGTCCATTAGATACCATGCATTAGTTTATTGTTAAATTTTTTATGTTTAGCAATAAAAAGAAGTATTATTTTTTCCTTTTCATATATATTTTATCACCACGGAGAAATAAAAGGGCTTAAAGAAAAAAAATTGACACTCCTGGACCCGTTCAAATCTGCATGTGTACGGTAAGTTGGCTCGTTCCACAAAAGAAAGAGAAAAAAAATTGACAATCCCTATTCTACCCTTCCTACAAACGCTCCTGGAGCAGGGAATTTGAAATAGGAACGCTCCTGTTGTAGGAGATTTGAAATGGGGGAAAAGTTTTTCCTCCCTCCTATTATATGTTTTTAATTTAAAAAGATACAACAAATGTACTTAGTGTGATTGGTTGTTATCCTTGTTTTTCTTTAAAATGGTCATGGTTCGAATCCCAGTACGTGTCTTTTTAATGAATAAAAAAAGTAATTGTGAAGACCAAAATGTCCTTCTTACTTTTACTCTCGTTGCAGGAAATTTGAAATGGGGCTCTCGTTTTTGCCTTCGCCGTCGTATTATATTATGTGTAGATTATAAGTAGTGCAGAGATGTCACTTTGCCTTTCAAACTTTAAGTAATGCGCATGGGAGATGACACAAGAGGATAGACACTAAAAATTACTTTTCTCCCTTTTGCTTAGCATGCTGTTTTGGCCCCAGTGAAAAAGTTTCCCAGTCATCACTGGCCTCTTTTGACACCACACAACTTCACTAAGGCCGGCCGACGTCTGAAATCCCCTCTTTTTGTCACCAAATATTGGGGCCAATTTGATTTGACTGTAAAAGTAGCTAGTGGGCAAAGCAAAGGTTGAAACTTGAGAAAGTAACCAATGTTCTGTAATTTTGGCCCCTGCCTCTAGTGATGTTTCGAGTTCTATTTAAGACTCATCATTTTATAGTTGTTGGTACCAATAAGAAAGTTACAACTTCTAGCTCCATATAACAACCCTCCCTTTCTCTGTCTATCTCTTGTCTGTGTTTCATTCATTTGATTCCTCAAATTGCAGCATAGTTTTGCCATGAAGTTCCTGAGTACACAAAGCATGAGAAGAATCCCTTTCTTGAGGTGGGGGAAGAGGATTCCGCGCTCCGCATCAGCTGCTGCCATGGTTGCTATTGTTGACAGGAAGACAAAGGTCTTATTGGGTAGCAGCAGGAGTAATAAGTCTTATGTCCCTAAGCGATGGGTTTACAAGCTGAGGTCGCAGTGGAAGCGAGCAATCGGGTGGCACAAGAGCAGCAGCACTACTTCACAGTTCAGCTATGACATCCGTAGCTACGCTCTCAACTTCGATGACGGTGGCTGCCTTGATCAGGTCCTTAGGAGCCACGTTTTGTAGATAAAACGTTAGGCATTTTGATCTCAATTCTTCTCCCATTTTCTATGTACATAAGACTTTGACGCAAGAAAATTGTAAATCGTAAAAAGGACGGAACTCTGATTGAAAGCTTCTCGTTCATTCGTATAATAGAAATGGTACTAACCCAGTGAATATATCAAGAAGGGCAAAGAGAAATCAATACAACTTGGAAAAGAGCTTACGAATCCTATATCAATAATTGTTGGAATTAGTATTATACTATCCAACTTTTAACAGTGTCCTGAACTGTGAACATAACTTGTTGCCTTCACTTACGCCGCCACCAATTGAAGCAGTACTGTTGCCACCCATTACTACTGCTTGACGACGCCTAATCCTCTTTCTCGCCAATTTCTTGAAACTGTGAAGAAATCGATCGAGCACCCACAGAGTCTCTGTATCAAGAGTGTCAAGGTCGAGCACAATCACATCTCCATCTTGCCTCAAATGGCAATTCCTCTTCTTTGCTAATTGCCTAACCTGCTCCAGCTTCTGCTGCGGCAAAGTCTCCAATCCTACTCCTAGTTTATACTTCTCCTCCAGGCTCATCTTCCTCTTATCATGATCATTTGCCTTGGACTTTGAACGCTTTACCCGCGAATATGGCATCCTCATGGCAATGAAGTTGATTGAGGGGAAGAAGAGCAGTCGCTGATTAATTTGCCGAATCGGAAGATACGAATTGATTGTGCAACGAAAAAATACGAGATAAATGAGTCAAGCCAACGAAATAGACAATAACGTAATAGATCTGAGCTCCCCACCAGATTTACGATGATGATGATGAAATCCTGCCCAGACGAATCTCATAGATAGAACGTCGATGAAGCTTTTGGATGGGCGGTACCAAAAAAAATAATAAAGAGAATTGAGACAAGGGATAGAAGCCAACAAACTGATAACCTAAACTGAAATATTCTTCATAAATACATATTTATAGGGAGTAATCCTAAACCTATTCGGTTATTTTTACTTGCCGCCTACTCCAAGATCAAACGATCCTAATTATAACTGGCTTTGTTCCCGGCCATTGGCCGGGTTATTTTTATCCTTATTAATCATTTGAGACCACATTTAAATTATAATCATATGCGGTTATATCAATAAAGTGAAAAAATCACAACTCATTAATAATCCTTAACATAACTAATCGAGTTTATTTTATGAGTTTTCAGTGAATATAATCAAATATCTTATTGGTTAGAATCCTTACATTAAACTTGCATGTTGTGTGTTCTAATCATAGTAATGATCATTTACATGTTTGTTTATTTTTAATTAATGTTTTTGTACTTGTGTTTAGAAGAAAAAATAATAGTGACGTGCAAAATCAATGTTGATGTGGATGGATGAGAATTGAGAAATTTTGAAATAGTTAATTCTAGTTTGAGAAAATGCATAGTATATTATGTTGGTGATTAATTTATAACATCTATAATAAATTAATCGACAACACTCACGTTGCACGTTGATTAAACACCGTACTAAATACATAAAAATGGAGAAATATGCTAAGTTATTTGTAACTAATATATACATAAAAATAAGATAACCAATATATATCTTCACTAATCCCATCATATGCCCATAGGCTGCACCCCGTCGTTTTGCCTTTGTATTGGCTAAACATGTATTAAAATTTAAAATGTAAGGAGAAGAAAATGAAGGATAACTACCGAGAAAAAATTGGAGGGAGGGAAGGTTACTATTGTTTTGTTTTAACCGTTGCTACCTTTTAGAGGATTTGAAAAGAAAAACGGAAGTACTTCTGTCACTTAGTGGGGCTGACGTGGATGCCTAATTTTACTGCAAGGCTAATGTGGCAGGGGTCAAAATCTCAAACCCCTTTAATATTTTTATAGATAGATAGATAGATTAGCATCTAATCCCTATAATCCAACAATGACAATGATGATAATAATAATAAAAATAAATTTCACCAAAATAATAAGGACGATAATAATAATAATAATAATAGGGAAGAATGAATACATGTAACAATGGGTTTGGTAGATCCTGACAATTAATTTGATCTAACTGTGCAAAAAAATTAAATTTCGACTTAAAACGAGTGAGAAATCGACGTCAAAGATTAAGGATGGAAAGATTAAAGACTCTCTAGGAGAGAGAGAGGGATGCTGATGTGGACGGGTTACTCATGGTTACTCACCATAAGGTTACTGACCAGATCCGTTCCCAAATCTAACGTATTATTTTCTAGAAACTATTTTTTTTCTCCATATTTTCATTGGTGATGGTGGCTATCTAAGTTCAAATGATCGAGTAAATCATTAAGAGTTGGTCATTCAAAAAGAGTTAGGGTAAATTGCAAGTTTGGTCAATATAATTACTTGAAAAGTTAACGTTTACCACTAAATTGCAAGTTTGCTAACTTCCTCCGATCCATCATCTCTCTATCAACATATGTACTTGGAGCTAATGACAATGACGGGCACAAGACCTTCTAATCATGGCGATCCCGCTACAATCCAATCCATGAACGAGTCGCTCGTTTGTCCCAATAAGAGAAAGACCTTTTACTTGATTATCATGTTGTGTACGTTTCTGAAAGATGTAAACTTTGTCGGCGTCTATGGTGGATTGGGTCAATTTCGTTGTCAATTCCTGCTTCAAATAGCTACAATGTCAAGTCCAGTTCTGTCAATTCCTGGTGGCCGCCGTAGAGAAAGCTAAGCCTAGTTCACAATTCAGCCCTCCTCCTCCACCACCGGTCGCGCCCTTGATGCCACCTCGACTGCCACCGACAGTACCCAAGCAGTCGCCGCCTTCTCCACCACCCCTCTAGAATAGGACTCTAGCGCCGCCTCCACCAGCTCCTTCGAGGAAACCAAACGCCCCGCCACCACCACCGCCTCCCCCGGCCAAAGCCGGTTCTGCCAGTAGACAAACCCTTATCAAAGAATCAGGCTTCCTTTGGTAGCGGCTTGAACATCCTTGGAATTTTTTTTTAATTTTTATAATAATTAGGTGGAAAATAAAAAGTATATTGTTTTTTTTAATTGCTACTTCACTCATTTAACGATCAACTATGAGAGTTGACCATCATATCAGTAAAAGCTAACGGAGACTAACGGTCAGTTACCAAACTTGGACTGTTAACCTAATTTAATCGAAACTTGCTCCTAAGTCTCCATTTACGTTCTAGTACCTGAAACATCACATATATGCACAACCTAGCTTAAAATCGACTTCAAATGCAAGAAATCGATCCTAAACACCCATGAAATGAGCAAATAAATGTGTACAAATACCATGTTATCAAATTCCTCACACTTAAACGTTTGTTTGTGGCCAAGCAAATCAAGTCAGACAAAAGGTATGCTCAAAATATTTTTCATGAACAATTTTGGGGACATTTCATACAGACACAAAACATGTGAATCGTACTGGCTAATAGGCATCAACACATGATCAACAACAACAATGTGGACAACCACCATATATGACATTCAGGTGAGGCAAAATGGGGTAGAGGAAGAGTCTCCTCTCTATTCACCGACCAACATAGACTCGACGCAACCACACATTCAAAACAGTCACCCATGATTAGAAATCAAAACATCAAATCAAGATCGAGCAATCTAGGTTCTCACCGGGATATGTAATATGGAAAAATGAATCACACACTCTCGACAAGTGAGGTCAGGAAAAAATTCAATGCGAAATATGGGCATGCTCAAACTCTCATTCCCTATCATCTCTTCACTGTGACGTCAGTTTCTAAATGCTAAAGTTCACATATCGGGTTGACTACTAACTTGTTCAAAGGACTTAACCGCAACTGCCTAGAGTCTAGGACATGGGGAACATGGATTTCAGGTGGTGCTAGTAATCACGACATAAGGTTCCACGGTTCCAAACTGAACACAACAACATTCAATCAAATCAATTTATTTCTATGCCATTCTGCATTACTCACGTTCTTTAAGGAACATGAGTGAAAGAGGCAACAACGGAACAGTGTTTGCAAGCCGGCCTACTCGGAAACAATCACTTTAATGAGCATGATTAAATTTTCGTGGCGATACTCTTTTTTCATTTCTTTTTTTAGAACCAAATTTTTTTGGCATTCTTTATCTTTTCAAGCACATGCCAAATCTTTTAAGAATTGCCTCCAACGCTCACATTATCTCCCGCAGAAAACATGCAAAAACAACTTTGTGCCTAAGGGTGATTTTTCTTTGTAAAGAGAAAGAAAGAAAGTTACACGGGCCAAAGGTGCTAACTAAGGGGTATGACACACGAGAACAGTCAATTTGGATATGGGCTAATCCTATTACGGGTGGCTATACGGTCCGGTCCGGTTAAATTGGCCCGAATTGATCCGGTCCCTGTCCGGTCTTTTTAGGAATATAAGGACCAAAGATTGGATTGGATACATTTCGGTCTTGACCCGGTCTGGTCCCAATTCGGTCTTGATTTTAGATTGAGCTTGTGGGGATTTGAGTAGTATGAGGCCTCAAAGGGTGAGGAGTTGGTTAAGTTTTGGGTGTTGGGCTCTCTTATTCGGTCTCTATCCGGTTTTCGATCCGGTGTCCAATGGTTTTTTTACCTCAAATCTAAGCTCGAAGATGAGATTGTATTGTTTCATGTCCGGTCGCGGTCCGGGTTATAAGGTTCGGTTTTGGGTAAAACCAAAAATTCCGGACCAAATAGCCAGCCCTAAATCCTATGCCTCTATCTTCCTAAGTAGTGGCGACGTGAATGCTACACGTCATGGTAAGAGGGATCTATTGCACAAGAAAAAAAAGAGCAGAATCAAATCTCACATAGCTACCTATATGCTCTATATTTCATTCTGATTCCTTATCCTCTATGCATACATGACTGTAAGAAATGAATGATCAAACCAAGTCACAGTTGGTAAGCAAACAGTTGAAACCTGAACCCCCTACACAACTCTACTGCACGTCTGAGTCATCATTATAGGTTGTCTCAATCACACACAAGTCATTCATATATCAATCCTAACAGCCAATCGATTCATCATACAAACCACAATGCCCTAATATGATCATGAAAATCTGTGCTTGGAGCTCTCAAATCTCAAGCTCCGGACAGTGGACTAGGCTGCAAACATGCACACAAAAACTGACAAAAATTAGAGAATAAACACATTCCCACACTTAAGTTCAACATTGCTCTCAATGGAGCAAGTATAGGGATAAGGGGAACGATTTTATCAGTGTGAAGTCGAATGGTGGTGGAACAGGATAGTGGACCTGCCACCGGTGACAGACTGGAGGGCGGACCAGTCGCTGAAACAACGACTCAAAAGAAAACAACCACTACACCATATGAAAGTTAAAAACAGTCATAACCCCAAAGGGTCACAAAAGCAAAATAAAGGAGTCAAGATATCCATTTTCACACTCCTCACACAAATGGCACAAAACACAAATCAAAACATAAAGGGTAAGTCCATGAGAAAGTCGGGGCTCAGAGGCCCGTGAAGTCTATGTCATCCATGAATGTATTATCACCCTGTGTGGGAGGCGCTTGCGGGGGAGAGTCCTTACACTTGGTAGTGTAGGTGGGCTAGCGAGCCTCAAGCTGGTCATGTCTCCTCCGGTAGTAGTCCTCAAGTTGATTCGGTCTGTCCAATAGCTGTTGGTTTGGGAGGGCCAGCTGATGGAACTAATCGATGAAGAACTCCATCCACGGAACAGAAGGACCGATGAAGTACTTGCCTCACACAGATCTCTAACATGGAGGAGAAGAAACAAGGGCTGCTCGAGCTTCGACTCGTCCTCTGATGCAGCCGCATCGTCTCCCTCGTTATCGTCCCCGTCACTCTTAGCCGGGGGGGGGGGGGGGGGGGGGGGGGAGAAGAGAGAGACCCTCAACCCACTCGTATTTTTCGGATTCCACTAGCAGCCCCTATG